GAAGGAGTCTGTGGCGTGATTGGCTTTGGGGTCATTCCAGTAGCGGCTGTTGTAGGTGTTGGAGGAAGTGAGGGTGTCGTTCTCTGATGAGGACGCATCAGCGTGGAATGTCTTTGTGGCAGAGGAGCATTTGGGTGGCAGATCGTCCTCCCTGGAAAGGAAAGGGTGTGATGGCACATGGAGGATGATACCCCACTTGCCCAACGCCCCCCCCACCACACCCTCCTGGGGTCAACACCATCAGTTCAAGGTAAAGGACAGCACTAACATGAACCAGCATTGCTCCTCGGCCCGTTTGCTCATCCCTCTTTGCAGGACCCACCTCTGTGCACATTATCTTCTCTGTATGCCTACTACTGAGGCAAACGACTCACACTCATGTGGCTAGGGGGGCAAAACCAGTAGTTGTCACAGCCACTGGTACTTCACAGGCAGTCAGTATGACTATACAACTAATGGAGCTCATCCTCAGGGCAGCTGCAGGAAGCTACTAGAGGGAAAAAATGTGCTGTAACAATAGAGAAGATCACAGTTATATCTCCAGAGCTTTTCAGCTATCACTGTCTGGTATCATGAGTCAAAATCCCCACCACATCACTCTCCTACAGAGCTAATAACATCAGGTCAAAGCTCTCAATAATGGCAAAAACTGAAAAAATAATCTGTCATTATCATCGTTCATTTGCTCCCTCTGTTTTCTGAACATTTATAGACATCTTCCCCTGGCCCAGGGGAACACACCCAGAATTAGCAAGAGTGAGATTTCTGATTGCCTTCCTGCCAGCTTCTGATTTTGCTGGGCAATCAGAGGTCCCCTGCTACCAGCTCTCCCTGACCCTTACCTTATCTCATTAGGAATCTCCTCCTCTTCTTCTTCTTTGTGTTTATTTTTCCAGTAAAACAGTGCCACGGCCACCAACACAATGCAAACAACGAGCACAACGGCACCTGTGGCCACTGCTCCTGCAATCAGGCCGATGCTCTGGGGGTGGGCTGTGGGGATGATTGAACAGAGAATGGAGAAGAAATCAGGCCTAGGCTGTGGCCATCCATGAACATTTGAAGCTACTGTGGCTTGGGAGGGGAGAAAGGTGATGTCCCCATTCCAGGGCACAACGATCTTCTGATAGAGAGGCATATGGTGGCTCACAGCAAATATGGTTACACACTTTACTGTCACAAGACAGAAGCAGGTGGCCAAGCCTCCCTTGGCAAAATACTTACGTTCAATGACTTGCAGGTCCAGAAGGCAAGTGCTGGTTCCAATGGCATTTGAAGCCACACATTGGTAAAGACCTGAGGACACAGTGCTGATATTTCGGAGAGTGACAGTGCCCTGGACTTGGTCTAGTCAGAGAGAAAAGAAGGATTTAAATCCCTCCCCCCCCCTTGAGGAAAACCATGAAAAGGCAAAGCCAGCAAATAGAGAATTTTGGTGAGAGACTCTTAAGAGAAAAATAAATTAGGAAATAACCTTGAGATGGAAGCATTGTGCCCGCACGAACATAAACACACAGACAAGATTAGGTCTTAAGGAGCTTACACTAGATGTTTCTTTTGCTTCTTACAGATGAATTTCTGCAAATGAAAGCTTGGGACTCTCAGCATTGTGTGAGAAAAGGCAGGAAAGAAGAGATGTGCAATTACCTATACCCAGATCTAGCTGCTAAATTCAATCTTGCCCTGCAGAACCCCTGTTCTCCCATCCCTGGGCTCCCCACCCCTTGCTCTGCCAATTTTCCTCATTCCTGAATTGTATAGAACTAAAATGCTTGCATATTCTTAAAATACAGCAAGATAAAGGGAAAAAGTACAGCCATCACTACTTGGTCAGGACAGCTAGACTAAGAAATCTTATGGATGGGACTTGGGGCTGGGCAACACCCAGTCTGATCAGAGTCTTGTTTTTACAGACATCTGAAAGGCAGCTCTGGAAGTAACTTATTGGAGAACAGTGACCTCAGTGTAAGAAGCTGGCAGTGTTTTCCTGGGATGCTTCTGCCTCCCTTCTCCTGTTTTCCAATCTATAAGCCTTTCATTTGGTTTAAAGTGCAGCTGAAATTTCCAGCCACAGGCCAACATCTGGCAACCATGTTCTCTCTCCCATGCAAACAGACCCTTGTTCCTCAATGGGGAATGTGTTTCTGTATCAAGAAACCATGAAAATTTAAGTGGCTGCTGAAGGGTAACTAGTCCACCATGGGCTCTAGGAATCTTCGCTCCAATAAAGTGACCGTGCAAGTGATGGCAGACATTCAACAAGCAACGCCACCTCTGGCAGCTCAAACAAAGGAAAGCCCAGGCTGTCACCTGGGAAATAAGAGGATAATCAACAGAACGAGCACCTTGTGTGGCAGTTGGGGGCAACTTGGGAACATTGTCCAGTTTCTCCCAGAGGTATGTTGGCCGGGGTATGCCTTCTTCTGAGCTGCAGGTCAGTGTGATATCGCTGCCCACGTCCAAGGACCCCTGGATTCTGCAAAGCGGGGCAGAAGGAGGAACTGCGAAAGAAGAGGGGAAGGTGACAGCAGATCAGGAAATACGACCAAGCAGTAGAGTGCAGGCTCTTTCTGGACACACGCTACTGGGGAAAGCAAGGACACTGGCATGAGCTGACAAGGGGACAAGAGGGAGGCAGCAGACAAGAACCCATTAAGGTTTGGGGGGTGACAATTCACAAAGATTCCTGATCAACCAGCCCATCAAGGTTACAGACTACTGCTAACTTTCACAGGACCCAGTTCTCTTAGATCCCTCCCTAGAGAAGGTGCACATTTCTGGTTTTGAGACAGCAAGGGTGGCGAGAGCTAACAGAGCTGCAGACAGAATTTGTTGTGATTGTGTTTTGCTTTCATATCCCTATGATGGCACACACTCTGGAGTGTTTAACATCCTACGGAGCATCCAGTACTAATTACTTTCATGAAAAGGAAGCAAAGATCTGAAGTAATTCTCTTCTGTTGCTATGCACAAAACTCTGACAGTCCCTTCAGCTCTCCAGGATGCCCTCGTACTTTATTCATGCTTCTTTGCAACTCCACATCACAGTGCTGCCACAAAAGCTTTCTCTCCACCAGATTTTAAAACTCCATTGTATGCTACCTGCATATGAAGGCTATGTGCCCCCAAAACTCCCACAATACCCACAAAGCCCATCCCTCACCACAGGAGGTCCATGGGCTCCAATGCATACACTACCATGTTGCTCTGCTATGATGCACAATCATGCACAGAGGATCCCCTTGTCCCTGTTCCTCCCCTCTCCCCCATTATACCAATAAACACACCCAAGACAGTAAGCCCAATGACTCCAATATTCCTGACGCCTCGGTCGGGAAGATTGTTGACCAAACACTGGTATGTGCCAGTATCCGATAGCTGAGTGTTGTTGATGAAGATGGAGGCACTGGTGGTTGGCATTGTCACAGCAAACCCCACTCGCCCATAGAACTGGGGTGCACCACCAAAGATCTGACCCCCTTGGTAGAGAATAACCTGGAAAAGAAAGGAAGGCTCAAACAACACTCTGCAGGAGCTGAGCAAGGAGGAAGAATAGCAAGTAAAACATGGGCTTCCAAAGCTGAAAGGACCAGTTCCTAAAGGATCTCTAAATAACAAGACCTCAATATACAGTTGTCCCAGGCAGACCCATCCTAGCAGAGGAGTTTTCTCTAAAAGAGGAACACACTCTGTAGCCCATTTTATGTCAATAAAAATGTTCACAAAAATAACAGACCAGATAGACACAAAAGTCTTCTGGCATAGCTGGATTTGCAATAGCAGCCTGCTTTGTTTAATAGTCATTACCCATCTGGACAGGATCAACATAGAGAAGCAGAGACTCTCTGCAGGTCGCTGAGTACTTTGTTGGAAAGCATCCACCCAGCAGACAGTATGATTTTGAGTCTCAGACAGTAAGATCCTGCCATGATTTGACACTGCTTACTGAAGATCATTGGGATGAACTGAATGACAGGCAGTGAAACACTTGAACCTGCACAGCCTCTAACAGTCAAATGGCTTATATAGCAGTCTGTACTCAGACCAAGTCCCTGAGAAGTTAAGTACTCTTCAGTGCAGGTTCTCACAACTGAACACCAAATGTGTTGGGGGCAGCATGACCCAAGGGAGATGTATTTCAGAGCAGTGACATTCTTCTGGTGTCAGAATATGTGGGCAAAAAATCAGGTCAGCAGATCTCAGGTTACGATTCTTATGCCCACCACAACAGACTCTCATGTCATGTAATGCTCATAAGAATGGACTTGCATAAGCAAAAGACAGTGAAACAGTAAAAAGGGAAGTAAAAGTGGAGATGAGTCTACGAAAGGCCATGTGTTATGGCACATTTTACATAGATTTCACAGGTTTAAGCCTGCAGCTGCTCCCAGGTCCTCCAGATCCTTATCTAGTGCACTAAAACCTGGATTACATCTCCTGTGCTCTTTTGAACACACAAACCACCAGAGGTCCAGGGCAGCAAGTAACATCAGTATCACATACACTTGCCCCAGTTGTGCATCCAGCCAAGGCAGCCAAGGACACAGTGCGCATCAGTTAACAAAGCATTGAAGAAATCAGATTCATGTAAGATCCAGAGGGCATGTTCAGCAATGAAGGGACACTGCAGTTCTGGGACAGAGACTCGGTATTGTAAAGGGTCTATGTCCAGATCAGCATGAAAAGGGTGAGGAAAAGGAAAGCCCCAAAGAAATACGTGCTCCAGTAAGAAAGGACCTACCTGTTGAGGCTGGTTGGCGTTAGAAAGAGGAATGACCATCCAGATGACATTAAGGTTGGTGAGAGCAGCGTTAGTGGTGAAGGTGCAGGGCAGTACTGCTGTCTGGCCTCGGGCAACCTGGATACTCCCCGAACTGACTGACACCTCCAGAGGACACACCAGACCTTGAAAGAGAATGACACCCAGTTTAAGCATTTCAGGAGAAGGATATCCAGTTCAAGCACTGCAGGTGGCCCATACACTTGCAGGTCATGACTGCAGCATCCTGTTGTCACACAATCCTTACCTTAAAAATTACCTCAGGCTAAGAAGAATTCGATTCCTCCCTCAACAGATCAGGCTGCTTTCATGCAGACCTTTTTCACAGGCAAATGCAGATAGGCAGCCCTTCTAAGTGAGAGCACTCTAGTTTCAGAGCCTCTGAAAACAACAGGTTTTGTTTTGGTGACAAGGAAAGAACTGTAAGAGCAGCCAAGCTGTGTCTAAGAGATAATGAAATATGTTTTCAAACCCATCAATCTTAATGATACCCAACATCATTGAAACAGAAAAGGAAACTGCATTCTAAAAGTCTTCACCGATGGGTAAGAAGAAACACAGTTTCCCGCCCAGTTCTACACTTCATAAAGTCCAGCATGAGCAGAAAATACTAGTGCTATTTTTAATTTAAAGGGTTAAAAATCTAAATCTTTTCCAGTCCAGGTATTTATATCTAGCTTGTGAAAAATGACTACTGATAATGGAGGATCTCATTAAATCTCATTTATTTTCCAGCTTTTCCACCATTCACTTCTTTGCATTCCATGCAGACTGGACAGCCTGATAAGCCCCAGCTTCCCAGCGCAGCAGCTCAAGGCAGCATTTTTTAGACTGCAGGTCACACAGGGAAATATCTCCATTCCTACTGCTGAAATCTTGTCAAATGAAACTAACCAAGGAGTCATCACCATGGTTTTGAGTGGCACTAAAATTCTTTAAACTATTTTTCCCCACAAAATCAAAATACTGACCACAAAAAACATCTCCCTGTATGACGGCTCACTATCTTCTTGTTCAAAGCATGTGGGAGGCTTCTGGAGGAGAAGGCAAGTAGTTTTCAAGTTCCAAGGCAATATCAGAATATTGCTAGCACCCAGATGTAGTCTGTGGACCGCCCTATTCTCTTTCTGACTCCAGGAACTACGAAGAAATCAAAAAGGCTAATTTCTGAGAAAATGGTGAGTGGTCTCCTGCACACTAGTCTGCTGGGATCCTTTCCAGCCTACCTAATGGAGAGATGGGGCACTCAAGGACTGGAAGCACTGAGCTTCAGATGTTATGGAAGCACTGAGCTACAGATGCTATAGATTCAATGTTTCTAGCATCTGAACAGCTTGTGATGAGTTCCTGGGTTTGGACTGACTGTTCTGGAGCTGCAATAACCCAGGACCTTGCAAATCCTCAGCAACCTCCTCCGAACTTTCATTTCCTCCCACCTGCAAAGCCCCAGGTAGTTCAGAGAGGCTTGGAATTGCTTCACCACAGAGCCAGACAAAATGCCGTTTTAATCTCTCCAAGTGAAATTCATTAATTTCTTACTTTGCAGGGAAAAACCCAAGTCTGACTTTCCTCACGGCCCTGGAACATATTTAAAAATACGCAACATTTCGGAATTTCCTAGGGAAACAGTTCATTTCTGTTGCTAACACCTCAGAGAATTAGGTGCCTGGATGAGGAACAGCTGGTGAAAGCTTAATCCATCAATCTCCTACGCAGGGCTGTCAGCAGCAAGCGGAAGTAAATAATTTAAAGAGCCAGTAATAAGCATCACCTTTATTACAAGGCATCTGCCTTCCAGTTGCATCTCTAGTCAACAGACTGGGAATGGTTTTGGACCCCTCATTTGCTTACGGCTGTCCAGGCAGTGGCAGTAGCCCAAAACCCAAAAGTTATCCATGTCAATTTGAAGATGTCTCTTACTGAATACAACCCTGAGAAGGGTTTGTCTTTTCTGCAGGCCTAAATTTGAAGGCTACCTTGCCATGACTGCTCATCCAGTCTAGCATCGTCCATGTGCCAAACAGTGTGCAGGGAATCACAATAGTTTGGACATTTAATGGATTAACCTCTCTCTCCCCAACATAGTGCAGAAAGCTCTTCTGCCATGTTCAGTGTAGATTTAGTGAGATGCCCAACTACTCATCTGATTTGGAATAGCAACATGTATATGTTCTTCAGCCCCATCCACTTTCCCCTCCAAGAAAAATCCACAAATCCACATTTGTGTCATTCAGAAAAAGTAATACTTAAGTGTGAGTCTTCACTAATAGCAAATTTACTGGAAAAGTTAGAGTTCACAGTCTGCATTGCAGTCAGTTACATCCATCACTCAGTCATCAAGATGATGTGATTTTCATACCTAACCACCCTCTTGCTACTCCTAATATTTACTATTAGTTGATTGTAAACATCCTGTAGAATAATAAAAACACTAAACTAGAACATGCTTAATTTCTTCGCTGTAAAAATAATTTTCAGTACATTTGAGAATTTCCCAGTCTACTTACGAACAAAAGGAAAGAAAACACATAATATTCCCTTTGCTCTGACAGCACCCTACTCTCACCCTGCAGCACCCCACAGCCCCTATAATCTCCTCTCCATTTCAAGTCACCTCAGCATCCCTTTTAATTTGCATGCCATGGAGTGGTTTCGGCAGGGGGTGGGGCACTAATGAAAAGCTGAGGTCCCTGTCCATTCCTCTTGCCAAGGAGAGCTGCTCTGAACCTGACATGCAAGATGACCACTCCCCCACACCATGCTGTCCTGTCTTGTTAAACCACCTGGCAAGCCAGCTCCTCAGACTTGCCTTTGCCTCGTGCATCCCAGGGCCTGTCAGCTGCTCTTTGGCCCGGGATGCACACAAGGCAGGCAGTACTTAAAGACAAGGACTCATTTTGTCAAGTTAAGTGGCATCTGCAGGGCTACAGCTGGGGAAAACACAACCATTTCTGACAAGTAAGCTCAAACAAGGCGACAGGAGAGTCAGGAGACCAAATGTAGGTAAAATTCTCTTCCACCACCATAAACAGGGGGGTAGGCTGGTGTGTTAACACAGCACCAGGGGGGCATGACTACAACACGACTCCTCTCCCAGGTAGACAGCTGAAAGAGCAAAGATCAAATCATTTTCAGAAGCTACAACATCTTTCTTTGTATCTCAGACTTCTAAAAAATGTAACACACTTACAAATGCCCTTGCCTATCTATGCAAGTATCTATGTGACTGCCTCCTTCCACACCAATAGTCATGGGCCAAAACACAGGTGGATGCACACAAAGCCACATACACTTATAAACGTGTATGCCCAGGAAGACATCTAGTAAGAAAACTCAACCAAATGATACGTGATTAAACATTTCAAAATTAGTAGTTGCAAAAATGTGGCTCTGCATTAATGCAAAAGGAGGGAGGCAGGGGAAAGAGGGAGGAAGAAATTTCAAATTTAGCATACCTGTTGGGTTAAGGATTTTTCAATGCAGCCTAAGGAATGAGGACTTGAATCCCCTTGGGTAGATATAAATGCAAATATAGATATATGCACACACATACAGCCCAGTCTACTAAACAAAATTACACATAAGAGGTCAGAAAAATCAAGAAAAGGATGTGGTAAAGGGTCTCCTTTTGCAAAGGTACATAATCCAGGTCCTTTCTAAGCATTCAGAGAAGTTTAATGACTTATGAGAGACAAGAAGAATCGATCACCACCAAATTGTCTCATAGAATTGGATTACAATAGCCATTATACCCTCTCTTGTATGTGCACTCTACTCCTTACTTAGTAATTAAGCATCCCTGTAAGCAGCATGCCTGGAGGAAGAGCAGGGTACACCACTGTCAGCAGAAAGAGGAATGGGCCCTTCCTGTACGTAGGACACTTTGATCTTAGCTTGATTCAGCAAACAGCTTTCTCCTTTGATGCCGATGCAGCAAGCTCCCATCACTAATTAGAATGGATGCTCCATTTTTTTGTCCCCTATCAGGAAACCAGCCAGCAGAACAATGTTCTGGTTACAGAGGCTCTTTTCGAGTCTCTTCATATTTCCAGGACCAAGTAATTATTCTGTCAACAGATCACTCTGATTTCATTTTGGATGGCTCACTACTGTGTTTGTAAGTAGCACACTCTGCTCCCTCCCTTGCATATGTGAAGGAGTCCATGTAGACAGTTCATACAGCATGACACAAGCATGTAGGACCCTCAACCAGCATTTTCCTACTTGCTGGGTATGAGGAGGAAGCGGATGCTGCCACATGTTTGCTAGCTGCCCTACAAGGGTACAAGCCTGAGAGGCTTCAGAATATATCAGATGCAGTTAAGCTGAAAAATATGGGCACATCTTAGCACTTTGACTCATACTAAGTTGACTGAAAATGTTCCCAGCTCACACTCACTGCCACACCTCTCTGCCAGAGATCACCAGCAAGACCAGCAAATTACTTTGGCTGACAGGCCTGTGAGTGAAGTGAGGACTTCCACCACCATCACTTCACATCAATAGGCCAGATTATAACATGAACAATCACCAGTCCATATCACCATGATGACAGACAGTCACAGACCACAATGGCCTCAGAGGCTGTGACTTCAGGAAGCACTGCGGTCACACCATTGAAATTGTGCTAAGGGCACATCCTCCTCTGATGCTGGATCACCCCCAGCACCTGGTTTTCAGAGGCAACCATGCTCAGTGAGATATTTGGGTTGCAATATTATGTACAGAAAGGGTCCTTCCCTGCTGTGATTAGCTTAGGAGTCTTGATCTCCCAGGACCACAGAAAAACAGACATTTCTTTGGAGGGTCATTCATACCATGAAAATCAAGCTCCTGCCCTGCCTCACCTTCTGGAGGACACTCTCTGCTTTGCAAGTACCCCCAAGAACTGTTGGCAAGTCAGCAGCTTTTGGCACCTGCTAGCAGCAACCTCCTGATTCTCAACAGCATGGAAGCCAGGCTAGCACAACTTTGCATATGCAGAGGCCAACATACAGGTTCATTCTGCAGTGCTGGCAAGCCAGGGAATCAAACAGCCAGGGGAGAAAGGAGGGAGGGAGGTGTGAAAGGGATTTAAAAAAACTCATCTGCGTGCATTCTGCATCTCCAGACCTCATGGGAAAAT